TATATATCAAATACTAACAATAAAACATAGTACTGACTTATCACGATACTGTCTTCTTTAATATTTGGGAATAGTTGAGAAATGCTTATATGCTACAATGCTCTATATATACAAATAAGAAGAACATTATTATATTTTTTCCTCATTTAATCATAAATCGTAAAGAGAATTTATTTCAATAAATTTATTTACCAAAATAAATTTCATGTGTACGTATACATATATCAAAAGAAATCGATAATATCCCGAAATGCCAATAAAATAAATCCGTTATACCGCTGCAGAGTAGCAGAGAGAACGGCAAGAATTTTGAAATGCTCCCTAAGGATGGACCAAAATCTTGGTTTCATTTATGCTTATCACAGATTTTGAGGCTTGCTGTAAGCGAACGAGATGAAATAATGAAAATACTCTGAGGAAAGGTCATCTAACGAGGAAATAGTTTTGTATGCGAATATAGTCCCCGCGGGTACTGAAGAGGATTTTTTAAGGTATAAAAATATGTTTGATGTAATTGCGGACAAAAACTATATCAGATCCGTGAATATAAGACTTATATGTCAGTGGGCCGATTTCGGCTCTTATCGTACTCCGTGCTTTTGATTTTCCGATGTGATCAATATTCCAACTTTCCTAACTCTGTTGAAACGATTTCTTTGTTCTCTTGAAAAGGTTTCCTCGTACCATAGAAAAGTTTAAGTTCAAAATCAGCAGAAAATTTAAAAAAATCTGATTGATCAAATTGAAATTCAATAAAATTACTGTCCGACACACGATAAGAAAATAATAGTTTACTAAAAATAGTGATTGGCTTTTGGCTCTTTCGAAAGATTCTTAAACTATCTATTTAAATGAGTTTTTCGTCAACTACATTACTTCTCCAACATTTTTCACCATGATATGCTCAAGGAGAAATGAAAAAAATTAAATTCCGTCCTACAACAAATAAGAGGTACATGTATCTTTTTCATTAGCATAACTTCACTATTAATAATCGTTGTTCCTCGATTTTTCAAAGAACTGGCTGAAGAGCTCATATTAGTTCTTTAAAACGCAGAAAACAAATATACAGTTTTTCAGCGCTTTGGTTCTTCAAATGAATTTTATTCTTCAACAATCCAGTTCTTTGGTTGTATATGTCCATCCAAAAAAAGAATAAAAATCATGGCCATTTTTTTGATAACTCCAAAACAGAAAGAACTGGAGAGTAGAATTTTTCAGATATGGAAAGAGCACTTTATAAAGCAACCGATACTAGATGAAATAATCCATTCGCCTAATTGCACGGAAAGCTAAAAAATTCATAACTCAGATAGAATCGATTCAAACTACTTCAAAATATCAACATGTACTTCATTTTATCTGCACTGCCCCAGGAAGTTCATTGAAATGTCTAAAAACTATGAGAAAGTATTTCGATCTTTGACAGGTTTTCTAGAAAACTTTGAGAACAAGCAAGTTTTTCTTACTAATTCAAGCCTAGAATAAGCTTAAGGATGTGGGGTAAAGTTGAATCATTTCGGTCTTTGTCGGCTGTAGCGTTAGTTTCCAGGTCTGACACCAACGTTCCAAAACATTTATAGATTCCTGAAGTCGTTTGTTCAAACTCAAAAGAGTGTTGCAACTTGACCAGGGCGCCGTATCGTCGGCAAATAAGCCATGTTGCGTATGATCCGGCATTCCATTCATTGAGTTAGCGGTAAACAAAATGTACAGAAGTGGAGATAAAGGTGAACCTTGCGGTGTTCCACTCCTTAGGTGAAACTTTTTCGAAAGTAAACTTTCGAGTTCGATTGCTGCTGTCCGTTCATCTAGGAAGGATATGATCCATCTCGTGATATAGAGTGGTATGTTCAAATCGAAGAGTTTGTATATTAGGCCATCATGCCACACAGAATCGAATGCTTGTTTTATATCGAAAAAGGTGACAGCCGAATGATTAGCTTTTTCCAAGTTGCTGGCTGCAAAATTTTGAAGACGTAGTATATTTTACATAGTGTTTTTTCGTGATCTAAAATCAGCTTGATGGCGTGGAAGGATACATACGACTTCCAAAATCAGCATCAATCGGTCCTTCATGATCCTCTCCATCACTTTGCCAATACAACTGAGAAGGCTGATAGACCTGTAACTAGATGGATCTTTCTTCTTTTTTTTTGATTTTAACAACAGAATGATTTGTGCATATTTCCATTGACTTGGGACATACCCAAGAGATATGCTGCTGGTGAACAGCTTTATTAGATAATGAACGAGTGACGGTATGAAGTTTTTGCGATACCTGTTGTGTACGTTGTCTGGTCCGGGTGACGTGTTTTTCAACCGTTTTAAATACCACGTTTGCCGTTATTTCTGGGGTTTCGATATTCTTTTGCTTTAATACATTGTTTATTTTAGTTTGTACTGTATTTGTAACGTGGTAGTGAAACGGAACATCATCTTCTTTGGCTTTATAAACCTCTTGCTTGAAAAAATCTGCAAATAATTCAGCTTTTTCACTATCAGCACAAGCAGTTCTTGTTTTATACCTAAGTATGCCAGCATGAGTCTGTTTAGTTCTTTTATTGTGATAGCGTCGCACTGTTGCCCAAACCTTTCCGGTGTTCATTTTATGCTTTGTGAGTGCTTCTGTCAGGCGTTTGAATCTTAGAGTTTTTTCATTTCTCAAGGCATTATCGAGTAGTATTTTCTGTTTGTAATAGAGAGTTTTATCGTGTTCGAAATTATTTTTCTTCTATCGTCTGTACGAACGGTGTTTGTCTTTGATTAGTTGTAGAGTAGATGAACTGACACGATGACTAATTTTTCGGCCAGCTATCGGCACAGCTGATTTTGTGGCCGTTACTATACAGTTAGTAATGAACTGATTGTAATTTTCTAGATCAGCTGTTGTGTTAATCAATTTATTTTCGTCCCATTGCGATAAATTTGTGTTGAGTTGCTGCTGGTAAATATACCAGTCACCCGCTGTATAGTTGAAGAAAGACGTGGTGTTACTGGTTTTACGTCGGGGTAACGGAGAGACTAAATGCCAGTGGTTTATGACCACTGTTCACCCCCAATGAGGGATGAGTTCGACATTGTTAATGAGATAAATAGTAGAAGTGGTGGCGATTATCCCATCTAGTTTTTGTTGATAATTATTACGTTCAGAGGTCATTAACGGCTCGTCGATACAAGAGAAAATGTTTTCTTTCAATAAAAGAGCCAATTGACGGCCTTTACTGTTAGTTTTAGTAGAGCCCATTGATTCCAGCGCAGCGTTAATGTCACCCAACACTAATGTGTCAGGATTTGTTTGATAAAGTTGATCGAATCACACAAGTACAAAGGCACAGATTGCCGAAAGGTTGGTATAGCGTATAGTATCAGTTGTAATGATTCTAAGAAAATTTATGCAGAACAAACCAGTAATCAAGTAACTTAAGAATGGAACAACACAACAAGAAAATTGTACAACAAGATGTGAATGCAAAAATAGCGGTTCACGATATGCAAAATAATCATAAATTGAATTTGAAAGAACCGACGGTTATGGCTTATGAAAGACATGAAATAAAACGGCATTTGAAAGTGACACTTTTAACAAGTAAACACAGAGACTCACCCTATAATGACATATCTTTAAAGACTATGAGATTTGAATCAGCGTAGAAAAAACAGAAAAAATATAGATTTTGATGGAGTTAGCGTTGGACTAGTCATGTAGTTTATATTGCTTACGTGTCTCTTTTTTCATTTCACTTCCACTCATACTGCCTGACGATGATACTTGATCAGTATCGAAAGCTCGCAAAAAAATTTGTAAATGCTTACGTAATGCATTTTCAATTCTATTTAAAATGTTATGTTTCTTCAAAACCGCAAAAAGACAAAACAGTATCAATATTACAAAGTTGTACCGGTCTGAAAATTGCAACTTTGTACATCTCCAATACAAAACCCTGACAGATATGCATTGAAAGTTAAAGTAATAATAATCAGAGTTTGGTGAAAAAGCCCATGAGAAAAGTTTTAGACAAACTAGTGCAGAGACCCATCCATCAATTACTTGCATTTCAATGATATTTATGCTGAATAAAAAAATTAACTTGACAAGTTGCAAATATTGAAAAGGGTAAGATGCAATAGGTCTGAAAATAGTTAAGAACTAGTGTCCAGATTTCTATTGTTATTGCTATTGATTTATTAAATACACCTGCGATAGTATGAAGAGTGCTTTTGCCTGGAAATATATATTATAATAATCATCTTCGTCGAAGATATTACTTGGTGAAATCTGGATAACCATCTGGAAAGAGTAACTGAATTCTTTTTTGTTTTAATTGTTGTTCATCTCGGAATATTTGTTCAATTTGTTCGATGACATTTGGCTTTAATCCAAATTTGTCGGCTAATTTAGAAATGGCTTCTTTTTCTTTTTCATGTAAAACATTATCGGCCGATGCTGCTTTAAAACCGTCATAGATTAAACCCGTTTTTGAACTAGTTGTGGCTTGTACATTCTTGAATATATCATCAAATTGTTCAGAATTTGCTTTGTAGGCTTTTATATTTTCTATGACATCTGCGGTAGCACCTAATATAATAATAATAGTAATAAATAGAGAAATATGTTTACTTCCAAGATGAGTTAGTTATACTCCGATTAGGTACCCTACCAAAAACCCGTCAAAGACAAGTGGATGTGTGTAACGCTTATTTCGCTTAATTTATTTAAGACTATAGAAATAGTACTACTAATAGACGTTTCTTTTTCTTCAGTAAATATACTGTACTGAGAAGTAATCAACGTCCTGCATTAACACGTCTTACCTATGGCAGCTATATAACCCAAAACCCAATTTAATTCTTCATCACCTAAAAAGCCATCAGCTGATGCAATGTTAATTAGCGCTTTTCCATAAGCGATGCAGTTTTCACGTGATGGAGTGTTGCTGCAATTCCAAAGTTCATGATAAATCCATTTGTTTATTAGAGGACATAACTCGTTATTGGTCATCTTCGATGTTCTAGAAAGATTTACATAAGTGTATATTGACTTCTTAAAGATGTTCAACCATCTCATAGTTCAAAATAATTAATAGCCTGATCAAGTCAACTTTCTTATATAAATCCCGCTGATTTTCGAACATTTTGAAAGTTTTGTCACATTTGAGTCAAGTCGACAAATGTCTTGATCCTGACTTTAGTTTTTAAATTCTGATTCTAAAGTATAGAAAGAGGATAAGAGTCGTCATGGGAAAAAGCGTTCGCGTCAGGATTAACACAGCTGTTGCAATATCGCGCCCCGTGTTTGCAGTTAGATCATAGTAAAATATTCGAGAATAAAAAATCGACAGTAAAATAATCGCGATATTTCTCTTTGTAATGTGACACTAGTGCAGTTTTTCAATAAAGCTGCTCTACTTAAATTATATTATATTTTCGTAAAAAGTAGAAAAAAAATTTTCGAAATATACGTACCAAACGTGTGCTAGTCCAAATAACGTCTTGTGTTCTGGTGTTAAAACGAGATGTGTTTTTTCTCCTGTTTCACAAATATATATATCAGTAGTCTATACGCCAATGATTTTGATAATCGGTTTATTGTATTACACATTGTTTATGTTTCTAATTACTGTTCCAAATGTAAAATGAACTATAGTAGATGACCGTGAAAAAATATGTGTGACATGAAATAATAATCAGTTATTGTTTGTATGAATAGTGGAAACTGAGACAAAAACGACTGTTATTCATACGCAGTTTGTTTTATTAAGAGTAAAACTCACAAAACGGTGAAAATGACCGCTACGGGCGTTCTAGTGTTAAGGAATAAATATCTAATATTTATGATGTATAACCATAGCACGGGACATTAATATAATTTTCAAAAAAATATTAGATATTTATTTCTTAACCACGTTCTCAATATCTCCTTCTACAAAGCTACTAGATCATTTTTGGACCTGATCAACGTTTGCTTTGGATGTGTTTATTTGTATATTTTCAGTTTCGTATGAATAACAGTCGTTTTTG